TGAGAGGAGCTGCCTCACCTCCACGCCCAAGTTTATTTCCATTAAAATACCCACACGGGCTTACTATTACTTTTTTACTTTTACTATTCATTTACTAGTACCAGCTGAGGTGAGCAATTCAGACACGCAGGCAGAACTACAATGCATAGCACAGCACCCAAGGAGCTGTTTGAATCAAGTGAAAGACCACGAAGCAGGGACTGATGGCGGCAGGGAGCCCAGGCACCGGGCAGGGCTTTGCTGCTCTGCCGCGGGGAGGCAGGGAGAAAGTTGGACTCAACGCAAAAAACAGTGCAGTTCTCCACACCAAAGCGAAACAGTGTAAATGCCTCCAAGGGTTTAAAAAAACCACAAACTGAGTCAAAGGAGACGGAGCACGTTGGGAAGACAGACACTTGGGAGAGAGCTCTTGACTAACGCACAGGCAGCAGCTCCGAGGGACCCGAGAGGTGACGATGGTCCCCAAGACACAACTCTCACCAGCAGCCGCCCTCCTCCCTCGCTTGCTGCCGCCTCTCTAGAGGCTTAGAGCTGCTGTCGCCCGCCCAGCGGAGCAGCCCAGCTCTGGTTCTCAGTGAGACAGCAAGGAATGCAGCATACAGTATGGGTGCCCAAAATCACGACCGCTTTACATGCGGACCTTAGTTTACATTCCATTTTAACTTCCCTTTGTTGTACAAGGAACAACAGAAAGCAATAAAGACACTAGGGATTAACACGATGCTTAATAGCACTGTCTAACCAGTGCTGTGATGGCATCCAGGTGATGTATTTGAAAGTTTTACAGCATCACATCTTACATCACTCCTCACCACCACGAATAATGCGTGGGCCTGGTGATGATCACAGTTTTATTTGTAAAAAGCATGATCTGCTAATGGATGACTTGCTGTCTAGATAAATTACTGTTCACAAAAAGCCACTAAGCACTGCATTTGAAGAAATGCAAACACGGCAATCTTTTCTCTTGCACACTCACACTGCCTCAGATACAAAAGGCTGCTCTCAGTACCCTTTCCTAGTACTTCCCCTGCTTTTGATATGTTTTTTGCCATTTGCCAGCAATTCATGCAAAGATCTGACTCTTTTTCCTCTATTTTCTCCTTTGTTAGCTCCATTAAAATAGTCTTACACAAGATGTTTGTCTGACCTTTCATCAATCCACAGCCTCTCCAAATCCAAACAACTACTTCTGAAATACCTCAGAAAATCTGGCCTTAAGTTTTGGGCTTTGCAGACTGCTTAGAGTGGAGAAAAGAACGCAGAACAATTATAAGGACGGCGTCGACAGCAAATTTGGTTTCTGTGCTATCTTTCACAACTCGACCAAAATCCAGTTTCCTTCCAGCCTTTGACAGAAGAAGCCACGAGTATGCACTGCAGGTGGGACCTTTTGAGTGCTGACCTGCCTCCTTTGGAACCATCCAAAATTGCCACTACGCATCTGCGTTTCACGCACATCTCATTTTGGATTCCTGACAAAACTCCTCTATGTTCTGTTAACGTGACCAAGCACTCACCATATTGCTTCATTGGAGCTTTCCCTCCAGCTGGAACATGCCAAAATAGACCTGCCATCTCTTCCCACAGATGTCCTTCATTGTGAGGGCCCTGGGAGGAGACGCAGCAGGAGACCACAAGTTTTAGCTTTATTTTTTTTCCCAGCTGACTTGTGATAATAATTTTGAATCCATCAAGTTCTCACTAACAGCAGAACCTCTTACATTATACATACAGGGAATGGAATCTGATCTCTAGTGGGACAGCCAGCCACCAGCAATTTCATCCCATCATCCCTTAGGGAGAGATTCCCAAACATCTGTCCTTCATCACGTTGCCTATGAAATAGCACAACTTGTACGCGTGTCACTAAGGCTCAAGCATGCTCTCTGCCCTCCAGCAGCTAGGCCAAGTCATACGGTTTTCCATTTAAAGAAAAGGCTTACTAAGGATCCTAAGAAATCATATCACAGTTCTTTTTGTTAAGAGAAAGTCTTAGTAAGATGGTAGTCGCTCTCAAATACTGGAACAAACCAAAATTAAGGCTGTCTTGTGGTATTCTGACTCATCCATCCCACAGCACTAATCAAGATCCATCTAATTACTCACAGTAGACCAGTAGCTGTGGACAGATGAGTTCTTTCAGCTCCAACTGTGCTGAGGACAGATCTTACCTCCTAAGACTACTACCCCTTGGTTCTGCTACCGGAGCCTCTTAAGTGAGGGCACCAAAATGCCATGGTTAGCAGAGATCTACTGTGTTGGTAATCTGCAGCCTACCCCGCAAGTCTTGTGTTTTCCTCTACTTCATGGGTGGGGCAATGCTGAGAGAGAATCAGGACTGAGCACCAAGTGAAGCCATTGGAGAAGGCCTGCATTTTGTTGTTCTACAGATTAGACAATGAATAGCATGTGAGATATGAACAGCTGGAAAAGAAAAAGGTAACCTTATGGTTACAACAAGGAGCCACTAACAAGAGCTCCATCTTTGTCCAACAATGCCTCAATGTTAGGTGCTCCTCTCTCAGTACCTCCCCTGCAACAGCTGCATCAACACACTATTTCCAGAACAGCAGCTCTCCCACCTGCTAAAAGGAAAGGAGACGTACAGAACTAGAAGGGCCTGTACAGGTTACCAATCCTCCCAATATGTCTGTCTGTCCAAAGTTGCAAGTGTCTTTTACTGTAGTTTACTCACAACTGCAACAGAATTTCTATCCTGAAGGGCAGGAGTGCAGATTTTATGTAACTTTACAGCCCTAGAAGAGATTGAGACAAAAACCAATAGTTTCCCAAAGCAACCCCACATCAGCAAAGACTGGGCATCGACCCAGTTGTATTTAAGTATTTCACTGGCCACATGGATTTATCTTGTATGTCTAACACACTCAAACGACTATAGCTTGTTTGTGCTTGCTCCAGACTCAACTTCCAGCAGGCTTGAAGAAAGCCCATAATTTTTCTGCCCCCACCCCCTTTTTCTTTAAAAAGAAAATCTCTTTGTAACACTACTGATTTCTCTCTTTCTGATCATTGCATACACCTGTCGAAAAGACACTAATAACACATTTGACTTTGTCAAGTTCAGCTGAACACCAAGAGGTTTCATGCCTTTCACCTGTTAAGAAAAAGACAGAAATGCAAGAAATGCAGCCTGGTTTCCATGAGAGGAAGGGTCACAAGGAGCTCTCTCACTGCCTGCTGCAGGGAGCAGCTTATGAACATCTGTTCAGCTGTCTCCTGCACCGAGGGAGAGTTGTGCTTCAGTCTGAACCAAGCCCCCTTCCATCCTGCCCTTATGCACGATACACATACAGCTCAGCTGGTCCACCCCGAGGCCAGCTTCACTAACTGAGGTGGCTGATGCCGAGTTATACAAGCGAGGCCCCAAAGGGAAGTTTAAAAGGGGAAGGAAGAGGGGAAATTTCATGGGAGAAGCATGTTAGATTCTGTAAGAAGAATGCAAGCTCCACTGCAGGGTAAATCAAACCTTTTCTAGTCCACACTCCACCTCAGTTTGCCAATGACATTACCTGGACGCTTACTAAACCAGTTTCAGGCAGGTGGTACTGACCCACACTGATTCTACATACAGAGGAGCCGAGCAATTTTCTATGTCGCAACTGCTCTCTATGTCTCTATGTCACAACTGCCATGGCATCCTTCATGCTTGACAGACATGCTAGATCTACAAATCTGAGCCTCCACCTCAAAATCAAAAAGTTTCATCTGGTCATCAATCTCTCAGGCTAACTGCATATTCATAAAGAGGCCAAAGATAAAAAGTGGAGCACATCGCAGAGGAGACTTGTAGTCTCAGAGCAAAGCTACAGCCAGTAATCTGTGCTTTTCTCCTTATGACAGGGAACGGCTCAGGCTCATTTTTATAGAGCAAAGTAAGCTGTGGACTCTGCATAAGCCTGTAAAACTTCAAAACAAACTCACAATGAAATAAACAAGGTACCTCTAACCTGTAGACTTCTCTTTCTGAACACCTCTTTGCTATTCAGGCAACCAATTGGTTTTAGATTAGGAACTTTACAGCATTAACAGCTGATACCTGAACCACATTCTATGAACCAGCAGTTGCAGAATTTAATGGGAAGCTGTTTCACTTCATAATACAATTCACATTGTGAGGTATGACTTTTTCCATTATGAAACTATAAAAATACATTCCCAGAGTCTGAATCAATAATTTGAACTGATAATGAAAACAGAATCAGGTGTTATCCAGGAAGACCTGTCCCAGTACTGCAAGTCTAGAGTTAAAAGATTGACTGGGGCAACTCAGGAGGGAGTGTGAGCTCTTCTTAGAGTTTCTCTTCTCTCCACCTTTTTCTGAAGAGGCATCTTCAGGGTCTTTTGCACTTTCCCGTTCACCATGGTCAGAAACTCTTTTTAAAGTGAATTTCTTGTTTTTCTTCAGTGAGTAAAATTCCCGCATCAAGTCTTCCACCTCCCACTGCTCTTCCTTCCGCTTCCTACAGCAATGCAGCGCAGCAGGGTCTATAGGATGAGCTTCAGTGTTGAAGACGTATCCTCCAGCATTCAAGACACATTCCCCATATGGTGTAATCACCACATCAAAGACTGATCCATCATTGTGAATGAAGTTGTCTGGGTCAAACAGCAGGTACAAGTATTTTACTGTTTCAGCCAAAAAGAAGGATTCCATGCGATTATCCAGTCTGTGATCTCTCAAGTCTTTGACCTACCAGAGAAGAAATACAGTGGGTTATAGTTATATCAAATTCAGTAAGTTATGAACTTAGGGGGAAAAGTAAAACCAGCTTGCAATTCATTTCCGTTAAACAGCACAGTATGGCACAATTCACCCTGTATTTGCATACAACTGTTTAAAATACATCAACAAGGATTCAGATGTTTTGAATTAGCATAGTCTAGTGATAAGGAACAGGAAACTAACAATCAGGAGAAACGCACTTCCTACTTGGGTAGGGAGAACAGTGAGTAAGCTTCCCATCATTGCCCCCACTAAAAAAAAAAAAAAAAAAATCATAAGGCTTGTACCTACTTCCCAAATCACAAGGCCTAGTTCCCAATATTTATAAGGATTTTTTTGTAAAACAGAGCTTGATAGTATGTTTGAAGTCTTCTATTAAATTATTTCAGAGAAATCACTCACTGCAGTTCTCTTGTGTTTGATCAGATTTTCAAGGCATAGTGGAAAAGCAGAATCACACAACTGGCAGGCAGAGAGCCTGCAGGTGAGCCTTCC